CTTTCGTGGGCTACAACCCACTTCTTCGGATGCATGGGTTGTAGCCCACGAAAGCTTATGCTCTAATAAATTTGTTAGTCTCTAAGGTGCCACAAGTACTCCTGTTCGTTTGTTACTGTTGCATAGCAATATTCCTACGTTCACGACATTGTTTCACCTAAGGAGAAAATAATTACTCATCGTATTATAGTTTAGTGGAATATGTTAGGTATATTTTGTTGGATGGAATATATTTAACATATTTGGCTGAATGGCGAAATGAGCGTAAAACATAATTACAATTTTCCTAAGCAAAAAAAAAAAAGCATGTGGAATAGAAGTGCTTCCTGTTGCTTCTGGCTGTGTATTTATATGGAGACTGAACTACTAAAAATGAGTGAGGATTAATGCCTTAATTATCATACCATCTGTCCCAGTCCAGTATCACCAGCAGGAGCAGAAAAAACCCAACTCTTCTCCCCTGCTCCCCACGCTAGACACAGCATAGCACAGGAAGGTCTTTGGGACACGAGACCCAGTAACCAATCCCCCCCCCCAACACACAGCCACATACAGCAGCAGCTCCACCACTCCCACCTTCCTGGGAACAATCCTTAAAAGGCCTGCTTTCCTTTGGAAGGCACCAGACCAGCAGCAGACCTTCACAGCCCAACAGCCTTGTGACATCAGTCAACCAGTTCAGGATCTGATCCTATTCCACTGAAGTCAATAGGAGTTTTGCCCTTTATTTCAATGGAGTAGAACCAGACCCTCAGTGCACATCTCAGAAGGCCATCATCACCAGCAGCACTATTCCCCATCAACTATAAGTAAGACTGTGATTCTGTCACAGAGGTTGTGGAAGTTACGGATTCCATGACTTTCCGTGACCTTCTTGTCTTCCGCAGCTGCAGTGGCCGGTCCGGCTGGCCTGAGCAGCATCAGTCCTGGGGGTAGCCTTGGGGACTGTCCAAGCAGCAGCAGTCCCGGGGACAGCTGGAGAAGCGGCCCTGGAGGCTGTCGGGAGAGCAGTCCCCAGGGGCCTCGGAGCAGTGGGCTGTCAGGGCAGTCAGCCCCCACTGCTGGAGTAAGTGCCTCCCAGAGCAGCGGCACCTCAGGGCCCTCCAGAGCAGCAGGGCCCCAGGAGAAGATTTAGTTATGGGTATTTCTCATTAATTTTTGTTTATTGCCCATGACCTGTCCATGACTTTTACTAAAAATACCCGTGACTAAATCTTAGCCTTAACTAGAAACCATTTTATATTTTTCCTAGAAACCAAAGATGGAAAAGAAGTTAGGTCATATTGTCCCTCTCCACACCAGAATATCCTTCAGAACTTTGTCTTGTCTAGTTTTAAATGTTTCACAGCAACAGGGAACTGAAGTGTATGAATCATACTAAAAAAACCCAAAGATCACTGGTTGGATATTTTTAGAAATTATAAATTTTTAATTTTGATGGGAAAAAGTCACAACATTTTCATCTCCCCCCCCCTTTTTAACCAATGCTAGAAATAAATTGGGGGCCCAGTCCTGCCCCCAGAGTGAATATTCATAGAAATCAATGGGATTACTACTCACAAGAATAAGCACTACATGCAGGTTTTGGTGTTTACAGGATTGACCCATAATTTGTATCTGCAAAAGAGTGTGCAAGAATTACTCACGGGTAAATGTCCAAGTAGAGGTGTAATACTGTCAGAAACATATACAATGGTTCCATCTGTGGTGACTGCTATAAGGAAGCCATCTAATGCCTAAGAGAAATGCACAAGTGGAGAGTTCTTTAACAGTAGTATGGGCTTTTATTAGTAATTCTCATTGTACATTGATCAAAACCTTTTACCTCACCACCACATTATTAGTAGGTTGTAGGAACATTATCTCAAGTTGCACAACAGTAATTCTCTGATTTCACAGTCTTATCTCACTTATACAGTGTTCTTTGTAGTTCAGCAAAATATACTAGCTGAGACAACAAAAGGCTTACAAGAATATTTCAAATATCAGTTTTTAAATTAATAATAATGCAAAATTGCTAAGCCTGGATCCTTGGAATTTATTAAAAAAAGTTAGCTCTGTGTAAATATCAAAGTATCATGAAAGGACGCAGTGCTATCTCAAATAATAATTACCCACAAAATTAATCTGTTTGTATTAATGTAACATTGTATATTACTAAGCTTTCATGTAAATAAAAGCAAAAGAAATGATCAAATAAGCTTTAGCTTCAGGTTTAACTGAGTGACTTATTTTAAAGATCATGGTATTAGATTATTCATTAGTGGTACAATTCACCTTTGTGCAGAGAGCCAATATAGCACTTGAGCATTACTTAAATCCCACACAGCAGCAGATTCTCTTGCCCTGGGATTTATGTGGGGGCACCAGCCTTGTACCAGCCCTCTGCATCGGAGAAAATATCACCCTAAAATATTTTATCATGTAAAAATATTTTGCTCATAGCCATATCTGAAATCAATAGCCTATTCCGTCTCAAGCTAAACCTTCTAAGTGTATCTAAAGCAAGGCCTCATCTACTACTCCAACAAGGAGAAGCAAACAAATAAGAAGCACTTACAATATTTGGTCAAGTACAGTATTAAATTCATAGCTCCAGTCCTGCTCCCACTGAAGTTGATGAGCCAATAGCAAAACTCCCATTGACTTCAGTGGGAGCAGGTCTGGATCCATAAATCTATCAATCAAAGTTCTGATATTGGTGCCAGTCACCTAGGGAGGTGGTGGAATCTCCATCCTTAGAGATTTTTAAGGCCCAGCTTGACAAAGCCCTGTCTGGGATGATTTAGTTGCTGTTGGTCCTGCTTTGAGCAGGGGGTTGGACTAGATGACCTCCTGAGGTCTCTTCCAACCCTAATCTTCTATGATTCTATGATCATTATTGGAGCAACACAAATGTTACAAACATTAACTAATTAGAATAAGGCTCATACATATGCTATTGGAGAGATCTGTTACTGTGCAGGTGTATTGAAAAAAGCCAGATTACTGTGACATTGAGGTCATAGGTTAAATGCAAGATCTTATTGCAAATCTAGGGAATATTACCTTTTAATGATGTTATACTGCATGACCTCCAAATCATGACAGTCTAGGGGTAGATCCTGTGAGATGCTCAGTACCTTTACATCCCATTGACTCCAATGAGAACTCAGGGTGACCTGGCACCTCTCAGGAATTCCCATATAATTCAAGACATTTTAAAAAATAATCAATATTTTTCAATAAATAAACATATGTCTTGGTTGCCAGAAGTGCTCAGCACCCATGCCTGCTTACATCAATGAGATCTTCAGGTGCTCCAAACCTTTGACAATCAGGTCAATAATTTATACCTCAGTGGAAGACTATGTTCACTAGCTCTTATAGTTAGTTTGGTTCTGTTAAATTTAGGTGCAGATAATATTTTTCTGTCATACATTTAAAATATTTTCTAAAAGCATTAAAGCAATTAACCCAGGAAGGAGAACAGTGGCACTGCAGGGCAGCTGGGTTATGCCTGTTACTATGGTGAGGTGTTTTGTATTAAGTCTGTATTTAATATCTGATGCAAATCATACAAATTAACTCACATTATAATTCTGTGGGGAAATCAAATTAACGTATGCATATATAATTTTATTTTACTTATTTGAAAATAGTCCGTCTAACATTAATATGGTGTCTCTCTCATCAAAGGTTATTCAGCTGTAAAAATTACAATTGTACAGATATAAATTAATACTGTTCCCTTCTAAATCAACGACCAAATTCCCATGGTGCTTAAACTTAGACTTAGAATCTCCTGTGCCTACTGGCACATGAGTCAACCCATTTTTCCCATCACTGTCTGTCCAGAGCAAGGTGTTTGATTCCTTCATAGGATGTCTCCATGCTGGCAGCATCCTTTTCAATCCTCCTGTGATAGGTCATTCTTTGTCCTCCATCTCTTCTCTTCCCTCCAGGTGGAATCCAATCTAAGATACCTTGTGCTTCTGCCACAGGGTCGCATGATAACATGGCGAAATCACGGTGGCAGTGTCTGTCTAATTATTGAGTCCACAGTCTGCTGAACCGGGGCACCACACTTCCACATTGTTCACACAATCTCTACAATGAATTCCCAGGATTCTTCTTAAACAACATGGTGGAATCCATTCAACTTCCTGTTGTGTGCTTCCACATCTGCCACATTTCTGAGGTGTGGACAGTAGTGTTGGAAGGACAATAGCATTGTACAATCTCTTTGTAGTGTGCAAGATACATCTTCTTACTCTTCCAGCTGATTGAAAAACAGGAAAATGAACTTCTGGTTTTACTGTTTCTTGCCTTCATTTCTTTAGTGAGCTGGCCCTTGGCAGATATTGTACTTCCAAGATAGACTAAATCATCAACTCTTTCGTACTCTTCTCCTTCAATTTCACATCTGCCAGTGTTGACAGCATTCTCTCCTATCTCCATAGTCTTGATCTTCTGTGTACTGTTTCAAAGTCCCACTTTAGCAGCTTCTGCTTTCATGCTCTCAAGAATGGTGCGGGATCAAGTCATTATCAAGACAGCAGCCATTTCACTGCAGTCAAATACACGTTGGGGTTTTTTTTTGAGCCATTGCTTGCAAAAAGCAAGCTTTTATAGCTGGACAAAGAATATTTTTAAACAGAGTCTTGTCCAAACATAGTAAGTTAGGACTTGTTTGGGTGACCAAGCACAGAGAGAGAGAGAGAGAGAGAGAGCGCAGTTCAACAGGACCTCCCAATATCTACTAAGCACTGGCTCATGAAGAATCATAGTGCTATCTTCTATTGGTAACTACCCTACAAGAAAAAAAAAAAAAAAAGGAAAGTTACTTATCTTGTAATAACTGGAATTCTTCGAGATGTGTGGTCCCAATGGTTATTCACTGTGAGTGCACATGCGCTCCTTGTGCCTAAGACTAGAAGATATTTCAGTAGCAGTATCTGTTAGGCACCTCCCTGTGCTCCGGTGGCAGGTGTATGCATGGGCGAGAGGCCACCTATGGGATGGTGGTGAACCAAAGTTGTCTTGGCCAGCAAGGTGCTAACAGGATTACTGTTGTCTCAACCTGCTTGATCTTCCTGAGGACACCAGGGAATAAGGGAATGGGAGGGAAGGCGTACATTGGTGGGTCCAATCACTATAAGAAGGAATCCCTCTGGAGTTGTGCCTGTGGGCAGCTTAGGAGCATTATACTAGACACTTTCTTGGTCGCTTGGGTCACAAAGACGTCCCAGGATGGAACGAGCTCCACTACCAGAAGAAGTACTGCATGGCCAAAGGGTGGATCTCCCCCTCATGATCTTTATGGAAAAAGCCTGCAGAGGCTGTCTGCCAAGATGTTCGTTACTGCCAGTAGGTGCACTGCTGAGATGGGGATCTGATGCCGGATGAACCAGTTCCAGAGTTTGACTGCTTCCATGCAGAGTGGGGCAGACTTCACTCCTCCTTGTTGGTTTATATAAAATATTTTAGTCATGTTGTCTGACAAGAGTTCAACATGTGCAATACAGATGAAGGGAAGAAACCTCTTGCGAGCTTCATGCACTGTCCAAAGCTTGAAAAGATTGTTATGCCGTTTGGTTTCTTGTGAAGTGCAGGATGGTCTAGATGGTCATCCAGGTTAGCTTCTCAGTCAAGCATGGAGGCACCCATAATTAATGTCTTTTTTTGGTGGTAGGGGAATAAAGGAACCCCTATGCAGACAGTGTCTTTGATTTCCCACCAGGTGAATGACATTAGGATGTTCTGAGGAAGCAAGACTCATTTGTCACGGGTGTCCCTACCTGGAGTGTAAACCATCCACAAACATGCCTGAAGACACCAGAGGTACAGACTTGGGAAGGGTGTCACATAGATCAGTGGTTCTCAACCTTTTTCTTTCTGAGGCCCCCCCCCACAACATGCTGTAACCACGGCCCAACTGTGCCACAACAACTGTTTTTCTGCATATAAAAGCCAGGGCCAGCGTTAGGGGGTAGCAAGCAGGGCAACTGCCTGGGGCCACACACCACAGGAGGCTGCGTGAAGCTAAGTTGCTCAGGCTTAGGCTTCAGCCACAGGTGGTGGGCCTCGGGGCCCCAGACTTCAGCCCCAGGTGGTGGGGCTTTGGCTTTCTGCCCTGGGCCCCAGCAAGTCTAATGCCGGCCCTGCTTGGCGGACTCCCTGAAACCTACTTGCAGTCCTCCAGGGGGCCCCAGACTCCTGTATGAGAATCACTAATAGAATAGTAGATGCAGGAATTCATATGGCCTGGAAAGAACCAGGCAGGATCGGACTGCTATCCAGGGGATGAGTCAAAGTTAGGTGGTGAGATCCCTCATCGTGAGGAATGTATCCTGACTTAAGTACGCCTTGCCCAAAATCGAGTTCAGATTCACCCGGTTAAATACTAAAACTTGTGTGGGGCCTGAAGTGGACCTTTCTAGATTTACCTGAAGTCCCAAGAAGTAAAAGCGATTGCATCAGGAGAGGACCGCCATCTGCGCCTCCTGATACGACTGACCTGTGAGCAGCCAATCATCAAGGTAAGGAAATATTGGGCTGTCTTACAGATTCAGACTTGCTGCTACCATGGAAAGTGCCTTTGTGAAACCTCTTGGGGCCGCTGAGATGCCGAAGGGAAGAACTCTGAATTGAAAGTGCTCGAGGCTCAGCATGGAGCGCAGGAATCTCCTGTGTCCTGGATGAATGTCTATATGAAAGTAGGCATCCTTCAAATTGAGAGCCGCAAACCAGTCGCCTTTCTGTAGGGAGGAGATTATTAAGATCAAGGTGGTCATCCTGAATCTCAAATGGGCACATGAAGACATTCAGCTGTCTGAGGTGTAGGATGGGTCTCCAGCTCCCTTTCTTTTTGGGGATGAGGAAATATCTGTAGTAAAAGCCTTTCCCCCTGAGTTGAGGAGGCACAGGCTCTATCTAGCTGGATTTGGGAGCCCTCTTCCTGTGTGTGAGTCCTCTTGTGAGAAGGGTCCCCGAAGAAGGACAGGGAATGGGATTTTGGAGAAGGGAAGACAGGAATTTGATAGTGTCGCCAGTCGAGAAGCTGTTGAGGACCCATTTATCCAATGTGATGTGATGCCACATAAGGAGGAAAGGGGCCAGGCAGCCCCCAAAGAGTGTGGGATAAGGGCAGTGCAGAGAAAGGGAAGTGCGAAGACTTGTTGGTGATTCTCAAGCATCCTTTGTTGGTGGGAGTCTGGGACTAAAGAGTGGTGCATTTACCTGCTACTTTGCGCCCTTTGATGTTTCCAAGGAGGCTCACAGACCCTTGGATGACAGAAGGGCAGAGGGACAGGATGGAGGAGGCAGCTGGGAATATTTCCTCCAGGGTGCCAGGGCACAGTTCCCCAAAGAGCAGAGTGGTGTGTGACAGTTCTTAAGGGAATGAAATGACTCATCTGTTTTCTCACTAAACAGGTTGTTACCCTACAAGGGGAGATATTCTACTGTTGCCTGGACCTCCTTGGGGAACCCCGAGGATTGCAGTCATGCACCTCATGATAACCAAAGTCGCCATGGAATGAAAAAACATATCCGCTGCATCCAGCAACACTTGATGAGATGGTCTGGCAACAATTTCCCGTAGTCAAAGATGGCCCGGAATTGGGGCCTGGCTGAAATTTGTTTCTCCTACTGAAGAGATCTAGTTCTTGTCATCCTGGTCTGAAGGGGTGGGCCTAGGTTGGAGCAGTTTGTTATGCTCGTTGGCAGCCTGGACCTGCAGCGAATGTAGCCTCAGAGTGAAGGTACCCTGCAATAGGAGCACTGTACTGAACTTCCATGGAGGCACCAACCACCTGCAGCAACACCGTCTGCTCTGGCACCACAAGCCTAATCCCAGCCCAGTTAGGAGGGGTGGACAGACCCAGGGAGAGTGTGGCTGGACAGTGAACCCACCCTGCACTCACCCCACAGTGGGAGCTCCTGTTCCATGGGGCTGGGCCCAGCTTCCCACTCCAGGCATTGCAACCTGCTGCTTTGCCCCCACACACCAGGTTGCAATGCCACTCATGCAAATTTGGCCCAGCTGAACCAAACCTGAGATAGGGGTCCTGTGCCAAATGCAAGTGAATTCGGGTCTGATTTCTGAGGGTGCAATTACACCCATGGACCCTGGCTAAAGCCTCCCCGACCTGGACCACTACAGAGTTCAGGATGGGGTGGGAACACAAATGTACTTTTTCTCCACCGTTTTCGGGGTCAGAGTGCACTCACTGGGGGGTGTCAGATATTGGCAATGACGTACCTTCCCTCGCTGCAGCCCCCAACCTGCCTGCAGGCACGACAGCCGCGGGGAGAGGGGCTGCAGCCTGGATGCGGGGGCTTTCCAGGAGGAGGGGAAGCTGAGGGCAGGGCAGCAGCAGAGAGAGGTACCGTGCAGCTCTGCGAGCTCCCAGCTGAAAACCCTGGCATCTGGACTGCAGCCCCTTTCCCTGCCCACAGCCTCCCCACCCAGCCTGCAGCATCAGTACTCCAGCAGGGGCTCCCCCACTGGACGGACATGTGGGGCCCCCATCCCCATGCCTCCTGTGGGGTCCCTGAGCACAGGCAGGTTTGCGGGGCTGAAGCCAAGGAAGACATGTCCCAGCCCTTCCTTCCCTAGCTCCTGCCTCACAAACCTGCCTGCAGTTAGGGCCTTTCTTCTAAAAGAAGTTCTCAATATGTGGCATGTCACTGCCAATATCCAAATCCTGTTAACACCGAAGTCGATGGTATGGTATGGGATGGTATGGGATGGGATGAGTTTCTGGCAAAATGTTGCTATTAACTAGAAATTGTTGATATCAGGGTTGCTGTCAAGTGGCATCCACTGTATCTAAGAATACAATACAAGAAAGTTTGAGTGGGAACACTAGCAAAAAGCTGCAAACACTGAGGGGTTCCCTCTCAGACCACAAGTGGTAGAAAGGAATTGGAGATTTGGTCAGTCCGCAGCACCCCTTGTACTCTCAGTTTAGAGCAGGAGGTGGGGTAGGGTGCAGGCATGGACTGGTGGACACTTCCGGTCTCAGGCACACGGAGTGCATTCCAACCCACAGAGAGTACCCACAGGGACAAGCACTCGAAGAAGAACCCAAGTCATCCATCCATTCATTTGTTTCCACCTCAAGGGAATATTTTTAATTCAATGTGAAGGGAGTTATGTGTGTAAATTCCTGTGCACTGAAATGAGAATCTACAATTATGCCAAGCAAGTGCAAATGAAGTGTCCCTTAAAAACTGGCCTGCAACATTCACGAGTGCCATAGAAAAACCTAAGACAGATACAACAGATGCAAACTAACAGCTGTAACAAACAAAACTATTAGTTAATTATTTCCATTTGCTTCAAAGCATGAGCATTAACAGAAAGGGAAGTTAAATATTTAACAAGAAGAAAACTTATCATGAAAAACTAAAAGGTAATGTGACCAAATAGTGGCACCTCAGAGAGAATGTACAGCTACCCACTCCAAGGACAGGATAGTTGCTCCTGCTGACTATTTGTATCTCCCTGCACCCATAGAGTGAATCACGTCCATTCACACGTTTTTCTTCATACTAACGTCCATAAATCACAGCAGAGAAAACAAATACGCAGTGAAAACGTGTTATTAAATGACACTCCAAAACCAGATAACCTTTACATTTTTAGTATCAGAAAAGACAATTAACAAAGCTGTAGTTATTTATAAGATAGAAAATTACATTTTGGCAGCTCATTTGGATTTCATATCAAACCTACACAAACATCATTGAGTCATTTCCCTAAAAATCGCTGCTAGTTTTAGAAACTCCTATGGTATAATTTAAATGTAATTTAATAGAATATAATTGCAAAGTGCTTGTGCTCCCTATTATAATAAAGATGTCTTTGAAAGGAACTTTGGAAATGATTGCACTGGTAGTATTAATGGTGTCAAGTCAACAGGGGCTGTCATTTTCTCTGTTTGTATAATACCTAGCACAATAGGGTTGTGGCATGGATGACCTTTAGGTGCCAATGCAGTATACATGTTAAATAAAATAATAATAATATATATACAAAAACGGAGAGATATGGCAAGCTTTCCCTTTCCCTATCTTATATTTGTAGCAATAAAATGTAAATCATAATTTGAATTTATTTTATGTATTACATTTAATATGTGTGTGTAGCATTTTTTAAAAAGTGGATTTCTATTGACTGCAGTACTTCGGTTACTGCAGTGTCCAAGCATGGAATGGAACCCCATGGAACCGTATTGGTTTCCAGTCTTTTTGTTTCATGGTGGCTCTGCTTTATGGTCGAGTACAATAAAATCTAAAGTTCTTCTCTTTTTGGCATCACAGACATATTGTTGCTCTAGAACAACGTGCACATCCATAGCAAAAGTATATGCATTTTTACCTCCAACATCAGCTGGGTGAATTCTTCATTGCTGAGAAACGAAGGCTTCCAGTCTTGCTGAATTTCACAAATCTCTGTCTGTGCTGAGACTTCTAAACAAATAACAACATTACAATTTTTTTTTTAAATCCAAAGAAAAAGTATATTTTGCAAAACTTTATACAAACTGCTACTAAGGGATGTAAATATTTTGTATCACTTGAAATGAATAGAGATTTTCAAGCATGGGTCATGCATGCAGTGCAAGAATATGGATAATATCCTCATTGGGCCATGTCCGGAGGTCCTTACTCAGTTTTCATTCAGCCAAACCCCATTGTCTTCAATGGGAGTTTGCAGTCAAATGACCATTGTTTTCAATCAGTGCGTTGCCTAGGTGAATACTGAATAATAAAAAAAAAGGCCTGAGCAAAATTAAAATCAGGATGAGGATTAGCATATATCAAATATGTAGTTACGGTTTACTGAGTTTCAGACTCAGGATGGGAATGACCCAGGGCTAGATTTTGGCCTACAGCCACAACGCCGAGTAGGGGCAGTGAAAAGCATCCTTGAGGAAGCTGGAGGACTGTGCCTTAGAAACCACAATCGCTTCCCCAGTTGTTTGGTGCACAGGTGGAATGTACAATTTATAACATCTCTTGTGATGGAGCATCCTTCTCCCCTCACAGCATCTCCAGCCAGCTCCACAGTGCAGTGTAGGCCGGAGGATGGGAGAGCAAACCAGAGCTTCACTCACAAAAACCAGTTGGAAAATGCAATCTCCTATCCTTTAAAATAAAAATCTGACTGTGAACCTGTCTGGTGGTTTGATGGTGGCATTCTGTTCCGCCACATGGAAGCACCATCCAATAAACACTCCTAGGGCACTCGTCCCCTGTAAGTTTTCACTCGGAGAAGTGCAAGTGTATGATAATTATAAATCACAGCTCTGTAGTTAAGACTGAACCCAAATGAGAGTTTGTTGAATAATTTATTTCAAATAACATTTCCAATTAGTACTGGTATATTATGGACCTCAGTGGGTAAGTAATGTAAGAATGTATTTGTCAGTTAAATTATTTGATTCATTTCTCAAAATTTGCCTAATATTCTGTTCAGTATTCACCCAGCTCTAATAAAAGTACACTTGAGCACTAGCACTGCTGGTCCGGTCGAGGGTAAATGTGGCCTCTCTACTCTACTCTGATTAACCTAATCTATCAACATTTATAGAGGACTTAACACCATGTTCTCTCTGTTTCAGGAGACTGACCACAAACATAAAAATGGCTGAACGATTTAAAAGGCAGTAAACCTATAACAGTGTCTGTGTGAAGTGTCTCATGGAAGTAAACCAAAGCACGCACACAAGCACAGGTTAGTGCTTTTATCAGTGGAGCTGCAGCAGTCTGTTTCCCACTAAATTAACGTTTTCAGCATTGCTGGGGTTGTCTTGATACCACAATGCAGTGGCTTTACCGGCCCAGAATGTTCAGCAGATGGCTGGGGAAAAAAGGATCAGCTCCAATCAGCTCTTTATATGTACCCTGCAAAATGCAGAATATTTTAGAGTAGATACTACCATGGAAAAAATGGCATATTTGAAAAATCAATTTCTGGAAGAATTATTTGAATTTTGGCAAGCTTCCTTGGATTAATAGAAAGAGACTGTTTCTTGAGCAAGAAATCTGAAAATTGATCTGCTTTTCTGTTATAACTAAATTCTTGGTTTAGAAAGCTGAATGTAAGAGAAAATAGTATTGAATACAACAAATAAAACTATCATATGCAGTGTGGATAAAGCAATGTTTTTAAACTGTATTGTTTGTTTTGAAGTATGTTGCATATCTACTATTGATTTAAACTTTTAAATAATAGATTTTTGTCTGAAAAGTATTTTTCTTTCTTTTTTTTTTTTTTAAAGAGTACAAAACCAGTAGCAATTCAGTCCAACCTCTATATACAATCATAGGCTGTTTACTAAACAGAGAACAATCAGGTAAAAGAAAGTAAAATGCCTTTTTTGAGTAAATTATTGGCACTATCTGCTACTTCATTTACACTTATTCAGTTCCTATGTGGTTGTTCTTTAGTTGATTTTTTAAAGTGTGCATATTAACATCTTCCTTTACTCTGCCTTGGGCAGCTAAAAAGAAAGATATATCATTACGGTCACCAAAGAAGCTGTAAAAGAATAACAGATATAATGAAACTTTCAGATGTCTCAATCATGCCCTCTTGCATGAAATCATCTTGTCTATGGCAATATTTCATTAAAAGAAAACCATCACTGCAATATCAGATTAACTATCATTCTTTCCTCAATTATTTTGACATTTGTGACTTAATTATGTTGGTGTCATGATGTAAGAGTTTTATCTGCTTCTTCATTACACCCATATGTCTCAACTCTGAGAAGGTGGAAAGATTGTCCAAGGAATAAAAGAGAGCAAAGTGGCATAGACTAATTCACTAGGCCCCAGTCCTGCAAGCTGCTCTGTGAGGTTGGACCCCTTTACCCATATGGAGTTCTAGTGAAGTCACTGGGATTCCTAATGGGCTTAAGGACTGTCACATCTGGAGATGTGGCCCATTTACACTGTTCCAGAACTGTGTATACACTACCTGAGCAGTGTAAAGAGGCCTTATCAAATTAGAATCAGTCTCTACTGCAGACATGCCAAACCCGCGAAAAAAACGCAGAAATTGGGCTTGTTTTGAGTTGCTTGTTGGCTAGTTTTTGGCTTGTAGCTTGTTGCTCGTTGTAGCTTGTTGCTTCTTTTTTTTTGATCGGCTCCCAGCAAGCTGGGGCAAGCAGGGGCAAGAGAGGGAGAGAGTTGGGGTGCACAGCGGGCCCACCACAGTCCCCGACTGCACGCCAGGGGGATCTAGTCCCATAGAGTGTTGGGGTTCTTAGGAATTGGCTTGTTTTGGCCTTGTTTTGAAATGGGATTAGCTTGATTTTTGGCTTATTGTGAAAGTCAGGGAGCTTATTTACCGCATGAAAGTTGGTAACTGTGCCCTACTGTCAAAGTTGGCTTAGATTACAAGTGATACGGTATTCTGGTGCTCTTAGTCTTGTTCCTGATTTGAGGCTGATGTGCATGCATAAGGGAACCCTCCGTGTGCAGATCTCCCCCATTGCAGTGGTTCTAAACCAGAGGTACATGTACCCCTGGGGATACGCAGAGATCTTCCAGGGGGTACATCAACTCATCTAGATATTTGCCAAGTTTTACAACAGGCTACATAAAAAGCACTAGCAAAGTCAGTACAAACTAAAATTTCATACAGACAATGACTTGCTTATATTGCTTTATATACTATACACTGAAATGTAATTACAGTATTTATATTCCAATTGATTTATTTTATAATTATATGGTAAAAATGAGAAAGTAATCAATTTTTTCAGTAATAGTGTGGCTGTGACACTTTTGTATTTCTATGTCTGATTTTGTAAACAAGTAGTTTTTAAGGGAGGTGTAACTTGGGATACGCAAGACAAATCAAACTGCTGAAAGGGGTGTAGTTGTCTGGAAAGGTTGAGAGCCACTGCCATCCTGCCAGGAACTTGGAGCCTGCACAAAGCCTTCAAGTGAATGGTCAAGACTTCCAGATCATTTCCCAAGATCTCAAGGGCTCTATGATTTGTGGGGGCTGAAGCATCTGGAAAAATCATGGAGCAGGTCCTCAAGGAATCAATTATGAAACACGTAGAGGAGAGGAAAGTGATCAGGAACAGTCAGCATGGATTCACCAAGGGGAAGTTGTGCCTGACTAACCTAATTGCCTTCTATGAGGAGATAACTGGCTCTGTGGATGAGGGGAAAGCAGTGGATGTGTTATTCCTTGACTTTAGCAAAGCTTTTGATACGGTCTCCCACAGTATTCTTGCCACCAAGTTAAAGAAGTATGGGCTGGATGAATGGACTGTAAGGTGGATAGAAAGCTGGCTTGATCGTCGGGCTCAACGGGTAGTGATCAATGGCTCCATGTCTAGTTGGCAGCCGGTTTCAAGCGGAGTGCCCCAAGGGTCGGTCCTGGGGCCGGTTTTGTTTAATATCTTTATTAATGATCTGGAGGATGGTGTGGACTGCACTCTCAGCAAGTTTGCAGATGACACTAAACTGGGAGGCGTGGTAGATACGCTGGAGGGAAGGGATCAGATACAGAGGGACCTAGACAAATTGGAGGATTGGGCCAAAAGAAACCTGATGAGGTTCAACAAGGACAAGTGCAGAGTCCTGCACTTAGGACGGAAGAATCCTATGCACTGCTACAGACTAGGGACCGAATGGCTAGGTAGCAGTTCTGCAGAAAAGGACCTAGGGGTCACAGTGGACGAGAAGCTGGATATGAGTCAACAGTGTGCTCTTGTTGCCAAGAAGGCTAATGGCATTTTGGGCTGTATAAGTAGGGGCATTGCCAGCAGATCGAGGGACGTGATCATTCCCCTTTATGCGACATTGGTGAGGCCTCATCTGGAGTACTGTGTCCAGTTTTGGGCCCCACACTACAAGAAGGATGTGGAAATATTGGAAAGAGTCCAGCGGAGGGCAACAAAAATGATTAGGGGTCTGGAGCACATGACTTATGAGGAGAGGCTGAGGGAACTGGGATTGTTTAGTCTCCAGAAGAGAAGAATGAGGGGGGATTTGATAGCTGCTTTCAACTACCTGAAGGGGGGTTCCAAAGAGGATGGAGCTCGGCTGTTCTCAGTGGTGGCAGTTGACAGAACAAGGAGCAATGGTCTCAAGTTGCAGTGGGGGAGGTCTAGGTTGGATATTAGGAAACACTATTTCACTAGGAGGGTGGTGAAGCACTGGAATGCTTTACCTAGGGAGGTGGTGGAATCTCCTTCCTTGGAGGTTTTTAAGGCCCGGCTTGACAAAGCCCTGACTAGGATGATTTAGTTGGGAATTGGTCCTGCTTTGAGCAGGGGGTTGGACTAGATGACCTCCTGAGGTCCCTTCCAACCCTGATATTCTATGATTCTATGATTTGCCCATTTCATGGGGCATGAGGCAGGGGCAACCCCACATCTTTGGTAGAACCATCAGCCTCTGCAAGGCAAAATTTGCAGTATTCCACCCTAGCCTCAGGATTCCTTCAGCAAGAGGTGATCTGTCTCTAAACTTTGCTCACATCACAGATCAGTGGTACAATTCAGCACATTTATAGTTTTTGTTCAGTGGCCCCCAAGGGAACAGCAAGGGTTAGAGATCAGTACTGAGATATAATGGTAGAGCTGACACGTTTTTATGAGAATAAAAATTCACCCTTCAGATATATTTTAAAATAAATGTCTGGCCGTCATCACTATTCAGCAGCTGTCTTTATTGTACTCTTCTATGCCAAATTTGCAAATGGCCTCAAAATCAAACAAAATTTGCACCTACATGTTATGCAAATGAAAAACTGGTATTTGCTTGTGCACATTGGGTAGAAGTCCCCCAAATTCATGCAAGCAAATATTTGTGAATACAATTTATTAAACCAATTATAAAAATTTGGCCCTTAATGTCAGAATTTCCCATTGTACTACACTATACACACATTAGTTCTGCGCTCCCCTCCTTTCTTCACCCTTCAGCCTGCTTGGTGTGATGGCACATGGATCCAAGTGCCAGAGAAAAAATGATCAATATTTTACAGCCAGAAAGAATGACATGTCATCTTTCTTTAAGATATTTTCTGTATAGAAAATTATTTAAATTTGCAACCTTGAGCCTTCACTTTCTCCAATTTTTTTTTTTTAAAAAGAATGCTTGATGGATTTTCATCTGTTAAAAGGTGTATTGGGCATGGTGAAGTAGAAACTGAGACCTAGGAGAGACAAGACTATGGATGCTGGCTTAGTAGCAGGTTGGCTTATCCAGGGAAAACAACCCCACTCCAAACCCACCAGGAATGTACAGAGGCACACAGGCAAGCGTCTCATATGATAACTCCCCTATCCCCTATCCCCTAAAGCTGATTCTTTTTCATACTCAGGGCCCACAGTGTGCAGGAGTCACAGCCCCCTTTCACAATGCCCCAGGAGGGAACAGACTGGCTCCCTACATCTACTTTTAGAGAAGCTAAGAAGAATATTTCCCCCCTCCAGTCAGAAGTCTGTTGGTGTCAGGCGAAGGGAGCTTCCTCTTTCCCTCCTGATCACTTTTTTGTTCAGAGCACAAGTCCCTCCCCTGCTTAGCTCACAGGTCCACTTCAGAGCTCTGTGTCCTTTGCATTTCTTCCCTGGCTGCCTGATATTCAGTCAGCTAGGGAGGCACACATCCTGTGCTTTAGAACGTCAAAGGACTGACCGGCTTCATTCACTTGAGCCCAACAATCAAAAGGAATATTGTGATCAAGAAAGGCAGTCTTGAGCAAGTCCATCAGGTCTGAACAGGCATATACTACAGAGCAAGTAGGATAAGTACTACCCTGTACCAAGGAGCAGCTGAGGAGACTGATTTGAGTTGCATGGTACCCTTAAGTTTTCTCGGCATAAACCATGACTTGGAAAAAATCTTACTATGAAATTTTTAACCACTTGAGCCACTCTGACCATCACTGGAGTAACAAGGATTTGGTACAGTTTGACGGTGCATGGATAGGTTTAGCAATTTTTACCATTGTGTTTCTGCAGAAAGCCAATGACTTTTTCAAGCACTGTAGTTTTGTCCATTTTACGGGTGTTGCCTGGAAGCATGGAGCTGAGCTCTTTGATGAGAACATTGAATTGGTCACGTCTCTTCTTTTCAGACTTGTTACGGGAAGCCCTATAAGTATGAAAAAAAAATAATGAATGGACCTAGAAAGAGTAATCATTACATATTCTTCTTGCGACATATTATTTAGAAAATGAACTCTCTATGCATCAGTGTGTGAACACTGATGGCTGGCACCAGGCAAAGCTAAATAAACAACCAAGAACTGGCCTTTCTTACTGTCATCTTTGTGACCTCTTTGCTGGGACATCTTGAAAAGCAGCATGGTCCAATGGATAGAGTGCTAGGCTGGGAAACAACAGAGCTGGATTTTATTCCCATCTTTGCTCTGTGACTTTATTATCTTATTCCTGTGCTCACTCAGTGAGCACATGTTGGCTCTTCTGTCCTCCCCCTATCACTCCAGCAGCAGGACAAGATGTGGAGGAATTTCATGTCCTTGTTTTCTGACAAATCATAAAACTTGTCTTGTGAGCACTGGTTTTCATATGTGTGTGTGTACTCAAAATTCATGCATTCTATGCTGAGGTACTTTCCGTAAAGCAAGATTGTAAGTAGACAAGGTAAATAATATGGCAACACATTTTGTTGGCCCAGAAAACAATTTATAATGCTCAAACTTTTGGGCTGATCAAAACACTTAGGTATCCTAAATTATTTCTTGGTCAGATAAAAAAGTAAAAAAACTATGGCAGTTTATAAGCATCCTGCACAAGTTTAATTGTAGAAAGGAAAGTTGGTCTTGTGGTTTAGTCACTGGACTGTGATTCTAGGTTCAAGTCCCAGTTTTGTCACAGACTCTATATGTGCCATTGGGTAAGTCACTTAATTTCACTGTGCCTCAATTCTCTATCTGTAAAATGGGGATAATACGACTCCCTTTATGCGTCTTGTCTATTTAAATTGTAAATTCTTCAGGGCAGGGCAGGGTTGCTGGAACAATTTTTATAGTGAGGGAGCTGAGAGCCATTGAACCAAACTGTAAACTCCGTACAGTGGAAACCACTTCAAGCCAAGGGTTGCGGCAGCACCCTCCAAACTCCTAATTCCAGCATCTCTGGGGCAGGGACTGTCTCTTTTTATGTGTTTGTACAGTAGAACAATGAGGCCCCAATTTCATCTGGGGCTTTTAGACACTACCACAATGCTACTATTACTGTTTCTAACAATCTGCTCAGTAGCTGTATTTTAATTTTTATTCATTGTACACTAATCTGTAAACTAAGAATTGTACTCTTCAGTGCACCCTTGGTCTCCCAGTATGAAATTTTTTTTATGTATGTTAATGGACAGTTTTCTAGGAGGGTATCTCCTAGGCTTATATGACCAGGCAGAAAATGAACTGTAAAATATGCCAGAACTTCTGCTTACTCCATTGAAAGATTCCAGGCAAACAAGAACATCATAGGCTAAGATTTATTTGGCTTAAATGTATAACGAGCTAAAAACGTGGTTAGAAATAGACAGGATTTAATAATTAACAGGCCAACTTCTTCTAAAAGTAACACCAGCGTCAATCCAGTAATACCACTGCAGTTAATGAAGAAACCTGGGCATACACTGGTGTAAATAAGAATAGAATTTAACCCAACTTTGACATTCCTCTAAGAACCAATATGACAATAAATATTTTCAGCAGAGATATCACAATGGAGGCTTCCATACGTTACCAGTGACCGGTGTGTGTGTGTGTGTGTAATTTTTGTTTGTCTTGCTCTCTGGCCTGAATACTTTTTGAGATGCACTGGAAAGAAGCCAATCTTTGGTTATTTTACAGCTTTGAACACAAAAGGTTAGGTGGATTTTGTCTAACGGATTTAAGCCTACTCCTGTTACACGTGCAGAAGACTGTTGGGACAAGATTTGAATCCATCTTCATCGTATTTCCGAACAATTCAAGTAGATTTAAAGAAAACCAACATTTTATTTTCATGTAATTCAATCCTCAGCCCGGGTTAGCTTGAAGGCTCCCATTCCTTCAAAAACTGAAACTCCCCAACCATATATAGAGTATGTGTTGCTTGCCCAGAAAGTAAAAGATGTTTTGACAGAAACCAGAAAGTACCTATTTTTAACACTTGACATTTTATTCACAAAGGAAATCTGAAAACTTCTGTAGTGGAAATAACTCTACCAAGAGCCAAATCAATGAACAGAGTAGAATCCTTAAAGGAAGAAAACAGAAAACCTGATTACGTCATCTAATCTATCCCTTTGCCTATGCAGGATTCTATATTTGCTAGTGCTTTGTTCAGTCCAGTTTTAAATGTCTTGAACAATGCAGGTTCCATCACTTCCCTTGGAAACTTATTCCATAGTCTAGTAAATCTCACTATTAGGGCACTATCCCTGATACTCTGCTGAAGTTGTCTTTATCTTAATTTCATACCATTCACCTTGATCACCTTGATGGATCAGTCCTTCAGCCCTCATACAGATTGCGCCAATCACAACACGTCTTCCATTCGTCTCGTATCCTGGCCTTCCTTCTCCATGTGCAGCCATGTCTTTTCATGATAAAATCTTCCCTTCTCTTTGGAGGTTGGCCAAGTGGTCGTTTCAGTTCCTGTGGGTACCACTCACCGACAGCTGTAGTCCATCGATTGTCAGTGAGCCTCGTTATATGCCTGGCCCATCACATTTTACTATGCCTGCTCTCCACAACGACATCCTGCACTCCACTCTGCTGTCTGATCACTTCATTGGGGACTCAGTCTCGCATTTAAATTCCCAGAATTCTTCTTTCCATAGCCCTCTCCGTGACAGACAGTGGCTGCTCCTCTGTCTTCATCAGTGCCCATGTTTCGCTGCCATACAACATTGCTGGCAGTACTGTTGAGTTGAAGAGGCTGCCGCATGTTGCCTTGTTGATTTTTCCTTGGAGGACATCCTTGATAGAACTGAATGCGCACCAACCAGCTTTCTTTCTTTGCGAGAGTTCACCTTCCTGATCGTGGCACATGTTAATTTCTTGGCCCAAATAGACATATTACTCAACTTCTTCTATTTGTTCTCCCTTGATTGTCATTTGGACTTTTGGTAAGGTATCAGACCGCATAAATTTTGTTTTGGAGCGGTTAATTTTCAGTCCGACTTGGCTGCTTTTTGTGTTGAGTTCTCGCAGCATTTTCTGTAGTTTGATATAATTTTCTGTGATCAACCCAATATCGTCTGCAAATCTGAGATGGTTTAACTGTTCTCCGTTGATGTTGATTCCACCCTTCCAATTCATTCGCTTCATTACCATTTTGAGGCAGGCTGTGAAGAGTTTTGGTGAAACCGTGTCTCCTTGTTTCACATCTTTCTTAACTGGGATGCGAACGAGAGTATCAAACAAGGTTATATCTGTAGTGCAGCGCTCGACAGCACAGAGATCAATGCAGTGTTGAAAGCTCTTGCAGAACAGGGCATCGACACAAACTATATCAAACTATTAAAGGAAGCAAATTCTGATTGCACAATTCATACCATTTGTCCAGGTTATGTACCTCCTGGTTATCTTCAAAGCAATATGGCATATGCTGATGGGAAAAAGATACACTGTCTGAATGGAATTTTGATTCTGAGTAAATATTAACAAAGGCTTGACCCTATATATCACCAAAAATGCTCCTTACAAAAAAAAAGAGGCATTAAAATGTCAGCAGATGGTAATAACTACCACTATTTAAGATATGTGTTTTCCTATGTCCGTTCTGTGTGTATGTTGCTCGCTAACCCCCTTTTTGAATGGTTGCCTTGCATGCATCATACAAGTAATTTGGACCTAAGTGTGTGAACTGGTAGTGACAGTTAAATCTGGAATTCCTCCCTCTATTCTCCCCTTTGCTTTATTCCCCACTCCCTGCAAAACAACTCCACATTCCAGCAATGTTATAATTCTTGACACTTTGTATGAAACTTTCAGCTGCGATATACCATCTCCAAAGACATCTTTTTCATGATGTAATGTGGCATGAGGCATCCATTCCCTTCATCCTCCTCCTCCATTCACAGATGTCTACATTATTTACAGATGGTTAGGCGCATCCTTACATTGTGCTTCTTTGTAGTGTGCATTAATAATACTATGGTTAGCAACTCTCATGCATTAAGTCCCTTGTGAAGAGTGTTGTTGGCACAGTGGCTTTGGGAAAACTTTGATAGGCCCTTTGCCTCAGAAGACATTCCTTGCAGTCCTAAGTGGTTGCAGCAGTTAGGTCAGCACATCGCTCCTGGTATCAAACAGTGGGCTTCTGTATCTCGAGCATGCATGAATTAGAAAAGAAGCAAAGGAGAACAGTTGAGCGGGGCTGCAGAGCGTTCTGACCTATATTAGTGAAAAAAGGCTGCAGGAGGGAAGAAGCAGGAAAAGAATCAAAAGAGACGAGCCTGGACCAACTAGTTGTGCCTGGACTGGAAATACTTTCATTAGAAAGAACAAAGGAAAAAAATACACGCAACCTAAGGCTCCTTCTACACCAGTTAAACTGCTGGTTGCAGTACTGATCACACTTCCAAAAAAACTGCTAGCAAACAGATTCTGTGACACTCCTGGCGCCAGCCAATTATTATGGAGTTTTACTGCAACAAATGATTTTCTACCTGAAAAGGCAACCCCTACAAAGTGTTAGTAGCAATTTCCTGTGTATGTATTAACTGTGACTTTACCACTGTAGTTAATAGCACGTTACTGCTTTAGACCCAATCAATTAGCCAAAAATTCAGCATCTTGTGGGTTGTTCCAGTTAGGAGCAGTAATTGGTAATGGAACCAGATGTTTCTTTGAAGCAATACTGTTTATTTACAAAGAATGTACAAAGACCTTTTCCCCTGAACACAGCAGGAATGAAACAACAAGAGACAGTGTTTTTGCTCACAGTAGCAGGCACCTTTTCCAATCAGCACTCAGCTCAAAAGCTGTCTCTCTTAGCTTTTTTTTCTTTCCCTAAACTCTCGCTTATGTTTTCTTAAGACCACATTCCCAGTGCTTGTTCTGATTGTGCCCTTCGTTTTTCTGTCCTTGCTTTCTAGTGTTTTCTCTGGTTTTCCACAAAAACACAGACACACACAACAGCTCCATCAATCAATCCTTTAACCCCTGCATTTGCTGTATCAATCCCGGTAAACCCCTCACCCTGCATGGCATAGCTTCTGACTTAGTCTTGCCAAGTGGATCTGTGTGTTTGGTGGTGGCTTCTATTGTTTTGACTATTACTAACCAAAGGGGCATTTAACTGCGCCATCATTTAGCCTAGCTTCAATGGGGTTTAACCCAATCCATAACAAGCACATATGAAAGGAGACTATGTTTAGGTCTGAAGTAATGTTTATAATATTATTGGTTTTTGGTGATAAGGTGATTTGAGAGTATTAGTCATTTTTTGTTTTATTTTTTCCCAAAATCATTATCAGAAAATTACCCATGTATAAACTGAGTAACATAATAAGAAAACCTCATTATTTTCAATGAACAATTGGTGTTTCTTTTACAAAGTGTTTTCCATAAAAGATTATATGATAACATGGATATTTTATACACATAGTAGACTAGACAGTTGTATTGTGGCAGAAATAGCGTTCTGTAGGTTCCTCGGTTGATCCTATGCAGTAATGTGAAAAAATAACCCTTGTATTTGCCTTGCTGATATTTTTCAGAGGAAGCACTATTGACATGTTTTTATTCTTAAAGGATGGCTGATAATAGTGCTTTGTGATTCATCAGTTTTTCAAGTTGTATTTGGCTTTATTTTTCTTTCCCTTTTGATTAATTAGGATGGAAAAAACAGTTTTTGCAGCAACATAAAATCTTAGGTTCACAACAAAATGAACAGTGTTATAAAAGAAAAAAAGTGCTCACCTCTTTGCCCTGTCTTTCTCATTTTCATCCATGAGATTGTCTAAATAGCTTTTTCTGTTGAAAGAATGCAGAGTTATTATAAGTTGTCATGTCATTAGCTCTACCTTCAGGTTAATCTCAGAGTCACTTCTGCTTTACTTTAATAACAGACTGACAGTACCCAAGCCAAATAAGTGTGTCAGCAGGGTTTTAAACTCAGTCCTTAATTTTAAGAACCATCTATTGTAGATGTTATGATTCATTATTAATGATTTGTACTGCAATAGCATCCAAGGGCTCCAATCAGAGATTAAGGCCCCATTGTGGTAGGCAAAGTAAAAACACATACCAAAAAGGCAGTCCCTCCTCTGAAAAGTTTACAGTCTAATCTGTCTACTGTGGATACCTTCTCCAAGTTACTAGGCTAGATCAGTGGTTTACAACCTTTTTTCATTTGCAGACCCCGAAAATATTTCAAATGGAGGTGCGGATCCCTTTGTAAATCTCAGACATAGTCTGCAGAGCTCCAGGGGTCTGCGGACAACAGATGAAAACCACTGCTCTATGGTAACGACAACCTTTCACGAACCCCTTAGACATAGTCTGTGGACTCCCCGGGGGGGGAGGGGGAGGGAGTAGCATGGACCACGGGTTGAAAGCCATTGGGCTAGATGCAGGGAGGTAAATATGGAACCCCTCTGCAGACTCAAGGCCCCCTGTCCCAAAGAGGATTCACCCCTGGGGAAAAGCAGGTATTCTTTCCACTGCTGCCCTCTCGGGTGGTTCCTCCAGCTGGGGGAAGCTTAAAGTTCCTATAAGAGCTCGGCAGGAACCCCAAAGGCAAAGGTAATATGAGGATGCATTAGGGGCCCAGTTCCACAAAGCTCTGAAGAATGTACTTAAGTCCTATTGACACAGTCTGGTTCCTAGAGTACAGGTTTCCACGTTGCAAAAACCAGCCTTGCAACTAACAACATCTGAGACCCTTGTTGAAGTCTCAGCCGAGAGGTCGGGGTTGAATGGGCCTGGAGATTGAACTGCCTTCTCACTATCTGACTTGAGCTTAGTTTTTAGAGTTCAATAGGTTTTTAAGCGGTGCAGCTGTCAATCCTATGTTAGACCAACTTGACTTGCCACACATTAAAAATGCAATCCCTGTGCAAAACTGAACATGTACCATACCTGTCAGTATTAACCTTTTTGGAACAGAATGGTCAGATACTGACTAAATTCTTGATCTGACATAAGATGTATGTCCATTACTTCTATAAGAATGAGCCATTTTGAGCCTGCAATAGATACAGACAAGTGCCAGCCATAGCTCAGAAGAAGAGTAGGTAAAATAGGTAAATCATGTAGGCAAGACAGGTAAAAAGCCGTGTAAACTCAGCACAGCCGAGGATGAAGCTGTGTCTCCTCAAGCTACGGCTGCACTACAGAGCTTACAGTGGTGCAACTGCACCGATGCAGCTGCCCTGCTGTAGCACTGCTAGTGCAGACGTTCTAAGTTGACTTAATTACTCCAGCCCCCGCAGGTGGAAGTAGCTATGTTGGCAGGAGAAACTCTCCCACCGACATAGTGCTATCCACATCAGCGCTTAGGTCGGTGTAAATTACGTTGCACAGGGGGTGGCTTATTCACACCCCTGAGCCATACGCGCCAACTTTCCCCGGCGCCGGTGGGTGCTTGCACCCCCTACCCCTGGCCCCGCCCCGACTCCACCCTTTCCCCGCCCCCACCCCGCCCCCCCCCTGCCTCTATTGGACTCCTTCCCCAAATCCCCGCCCCAGCCCCGCCTCTTCCCTGAACGCGCCGTGTTCCCCCTTCTCCCCCCTCCCTCCCAGCCGCGCGAAACAGCTGTTTCACAGCGCAAGCTCTGGGAGCTAGGGGGAAAAAGTGGGCACACGGCGCACTCAGGGGTGGAGGCGGAGGTGAGCTGGGCGGGGGGGCAAGGAGCTGCCGGTGGGTGCTGAGCACCCACCAATTTTTCCCCTTGGGTGCTCCAGCCCTGGAGCATCCATGGAATTGGCGCCTATGCCCCAAGCAACATAACTTATACCGATGTAAGTGGTAACGTGTACACAGCCTGATACATTCCTTCTCTGTCCACTGCCTGCCCCTCTTTTGCCAAGCGCTCTTTTGAAGAAGGGAGGCTTGAGACATAATACCAAGCAGTGAGGAGACCAAAGCGTCGCGTTTATCATTACCTGTGTCCATTCAAGGCATGTACTCCCACTTGTATCAGAGCACAAAACCCTTATGCACCTGCTACACCCCACGCAAGGATTTTCAGGATCAACAGCACAATGTTTCAAACTTTAGACTTCCTACACTGTCATTTGAAAATTGGCATCCCATGTCACTATTCCTTCCACAAAATTTAGGAAGCAGGATACAATAAAAAGTTAAAAAAGGAGGGCCAAGTTAATGAATATGCATTACTTAGGCCGAATATGATTTCAACATATGATTTTGCTCAGGAATTTTATTGTCTCAAGAATATTTGTTTAAAAACAAAAATGAAAACTGATCAATGGGAAGAATTATGGATAATTTTGTCAGTAGCTAGTAGATAGTCATCCTCCATTAGCTCATGAGACACATGCTAGCTAAGAAATATGAGATATATATGCAAATTATCCTGTTAATTTTTTGTAACAATACAAATGCAGCAGGAGGTTAAAAGCTGCTGTTCATTGGTCTGAGGATAAAGCCACCATAGGTGAGAAGCTTAACGGGATTTTAATTGGGTAGTGGAGGATCATAAATAGGAAATACAGAGGGCACGTGTTGGATTTTATTGAATTGGAATTCAATTGGAATTGCTGTGTTCTGTAATCCAGAATATAGACAAAGAAATAATAGTAAGTAGTGCTCGTAAAGCTTTCATACTTTAGCTAATCAGGCTTCACAACACCCCCAGGAGGCAGGTCAGTATCATCAGCCGCATTTCATAATGGGGAAATTCATATAGCCAGCTGAATATTATTTAGCAAATAATTTATTTGACAACATTCATTACCGTTCTAAAATTAATCAACAAATATTTTTTTAAATTATTCACTGAGCCACAGAGTCAGACTGATAAACTGAACTGACAAATATATTCTCAAATAATATATTTTACAAACGGAGTGACATTTTCAAACAAATAATTCAATAGTTTTTAAAATTATTTGCCCATTGGTAGGAACTGAGGCAATGTGGTTAAATGACTTGTCCAAGAACACAGAAGCAGTCACAGAACCAAGGACTAGAACCCAGAAGTTCCTTGACTTAAATCCCTAGGCCTTTGCTCAAATCACTAGGTTAGGCCTCTGCACTGTTTTGAACACAAACTCTGATTCTGAGTACTGCAGTAATTGTTACCATTTTATACTTTTTTATTAATGAAGAGAAAAAGAACAACTGTTTTACTGGATATCTACAGAATACATGGAATTATACTGTGGGGGAAGCATATGCCCATACTCACTGGCAATAGACCTAACTCTTCTGTTCTGTACAGGATTTGGCTTTCTCACTGACTGATGTCACATCTAGGAGCTGCTGCGATGCTGCCAGTATCAGACACTATCCAGTTGCCACTTTGATTCCACATCCATTTGTTGACACAGTCAAATCTCCAGAGCACCTTAAGTGTTGCTAACAACGTTTGTGAGTCTGTATTTGGCATATGAAATTAGAACTGTGCTCAATAAAATAGATATGGCAGAACAAATTATATTTGTTGCTAAATAGTTGTGTCACCCCTTTGAGGAGCTGTAGAAGATGTCTGGGCCTTGCAGGCCAGCTTCCTGTTGGAGCAGAAATCAGTGACATGAAGTCTGGGTATATTCTTAGTGCAACTTTTTAATTTTATACTATTCCAACCAGTCTTTGAACAGAGGGGAGGGAGGTCACAGACAGCACAGAGGGAACACCCTCTTTCGGAACTGAGTCCCAGAGATTTCTCTCATTAGAGTGATTAAGGCAGAGAACAAATGCGTTTGCTCCTTGCCACAGCTCCTCCCAAAAGAACTTGCATCACAAAACTAACAACAATACAGTATTTCTTCAAAGACTGAACAGTGCTCACACGTTAAGAACTTGCAACCCTATGAATAATAGGCCCACCTGCTGACTCCTGCCATAAGAGTAAAGGCACAAACATGATTGTCATTGCTAAGTACTCTTATGGCTGGAGTCAGCAGGTGGATAGTAAGCAAAAGATAGTAAGCAGCTTGAATCAGCAGAGAAGACTATCAGGAGTCTCTCACTGAAGTGAGCCACCAAATCAGTCAGCATTTGAAATTGATAGTTCACAATGAGAACATACCTAAAGAGAAAGAAAGAAACCCTCAGCTCACCACATGTACATACTGGGACAGATCTTCCTCCACAAAGCTGCCAGAACAGGGTGCTGTGGATTCCCCAGCATGGGAAAATCCAAGGGAGCACTGAGCCAGTGAATTTACCTCTAAGCCACCACCCTTCATAACCTCCATTGGAGGAAGCAAGTCGGGGGCATGTCCAGGGAAGGTGTGCAGTTGCAGTGCTGTTAAGCTCCAGCAATCCCCAGATGGCATAATGGCCCTTGTATGCCTCAGTTTTTAGATGCCTAACTTGAAACAAATTGGGCCTGATTTTCAGGGAGTGGTATAAGAATTTGGGTAATTTGTCAATTTACAATTTATAATTCTCTCATTATCAAGCTGCAAACTCCATTTTGAATATGTATCCCTTTGTCTTCTCCATTGTCTTTTTACTGATTTGTCTGGGGATGGTCTTCTGGCAACCAACTCACTAGGCTGATCTGGGAATTACTAGACAGAGGGACTGAAAGGTTATAAAAGGCAGAAGCTGATCTATTTGGTGTCTTTGGTCACTTTCACCAGCTCAAAAAGAGGGACGCTGCTGCAGGAGTCTGATGAGGTGGGGGGAACCTAAACAGTCCCCCAAGAGGGGCACTATCTTATGTTTTAGCTCTTAAGTAAAGAGCACTGGTGTTTTAGAATCCTGTGCAAAGTCTGTCTCTCTGTGTTATGTGCAACACCTATCATATGTCCTTGAAGGGTTAGCATGTGACCCCAG